GTGGTGGCAAAATCCACACCGCAGGGCAAGGAGACAAGCACAGGAGCAGGAGCCAGTGGCCTCTGCAGAGAGCACTCTCCAAACACAGCCCTGTCACTGACCTTGGCTAATAACAGCCTTCCTGTTCCTCCCGTCGAGGTCGGCCCTCTCGATGACGTGGTGCTTGGCATCCACCCAGTACATGCGGTGCCCGGCGTAGTCGATGGTCAGCCCGTTGGGCCAGAAGAGGTGCGTGTCCGCGATGATGCGCCGGTTGGAGCCGTCCATGTTGGAGTACTCGATGCGGGGAGTGTTGCCCCAGTCGGTCCAGTAGATAGTGCTGCAGGAGGCAAGGAGAGAGAGGTTAGAAAACTCGTGTTCCACACGCTGCACCCAGCATCGCTCCCTGTCAGGGCAAAACAGTCCTGTGACCTTGAGCGTGAGACTGGGTAACAGCCACAGGGGGCAGCCAGCGAGGCAGCACGCAGCGCTTTCAAGCTGGTGAAACCAGGAGGGCTCAGAATGGGATTAAGGCTCTGAAGGCCTTCAGCATTGCCAGGTTCCCTAAACTGGCAGGATTAAGGCTCTGAAGGCCTTCAGTGTCACTAGGTTCCCCAAACTGGCAGTACCAAACGAAGGCTTGAGTCCAGAGCAGCCTTTGTGACCAAAGAGGAGGTTTTCTACGTTCACCTGGAAGTGCTTGTATGGGTGGCTCGCTGGGGTCCTACGTTTCCACTCACCCCTCCATAGGATGTAGGGCAATGGCTCGGGGCTTCTCCAGGTTCTGCCACAAAAGCACTTTCCTGTGTGTGCCATCCAAGTTTGCTACTTCAATTCGAGATGTCCCGGAATCTGTCCAGTATAATTTGTCATGGATCCAGTCAACAGCAAGTCCACCTATCTCCAGGAAAGAATGAAGCACAGAGTGAAACCAGGAGCAGGATCTGCTCGGAAAAATACTCCCCTTTCCCTCTCAGCCAAATTCAGTCAGCCTGTCTCTTCCTCTGTCAACCAAGAGTAACTGCAGGGAGACAATGATCTCTCATCCATCCCATCCAGCCCACCCCTTGCTCAGGGAGATGCATTCCATTTTGAATGCTGGGTGCCCACTTCTCTCCACCACAGTCAGTCCCCAGGATCTTGCCGTTTTTGTGGCGACGCACCTGGGCTCTCCAGCCCTGTGGAAACCACCTCTTCCACATTGCTGCCGTTCAGATTGGCCCTCATGATGCGATCCAGAGTGACGTCAGACCAGAACACCAGCTCCTTGCTGTGGTGGAAGTCAAGGGCAATGGCATTTTCCAGGTTGTTGAGGAGCAGCGTATACTCCGAGCGGTGAGGCAACACTTGTCGGATATCAATTCGATTGGCAAAGAGCAGCACTGGCTCTGGCCCTGAGAAGACAAGAAGACAGCATCAGAGTACTCTGACAGAGTCCTATGCACCTACCAGTCATTCTGCACCAAGTCCCAGAATGCAGTTTTGCTGTATTGGCAGCAAGAAATCAACTCCCAAGTGAAAAACACTACAGAGAGCTGTCTTCACATCCTCAATACACATTCCTAACTCAAAGATGAGCAGTTTTCCACCTTTTGGCAAGCATTCACCCAGCAAGAAGTGATCACTCTAGGTTCCACCTAAGCCCACCTCACCTAAACCTCCAAAACCATACCATTAATGAGACTATGGTTTCCTTTTCCTGTACCCATCTCCTAGCCATACAAACACACATGCTCTACCACATCTTCTACCACACACAAGACAGTTAAAATCTGCCTCAGCCAGATAGAAGCTCAGCAAGTACTTCCCTTGCAGAGACAAAAGAGAAATAAATAAAAATAAAAAAAAATATCAAAATCACTATTAACATCCTTTATGGATTTCATATGGACAAAAGAGAAATAAATAAAAATAAAATCTCAAAATCACTACTAACATCCTTTATGGATTTCATATAGGGAATTCATAATAAAATCTTAATTCTTTAAATGGAATTTCTAATTCCTCAGCTCCTCCATGAGAGAGGCTGTGAAATAGAGTTAAACAAGTATAGAGATGCCCTTAGAAAACAGTAGATGTCCATACAGCAGCCACTCACAGCATTCAGAACTGGTCACCAGCATCAGGGGTCAAACCACAAGGAGGTGAGACACAATCTCACTGACTAGAAAAGTTAAGACACCTTCTGACCAGAAGTAGAAGACTGTTTTTGTCCAAGGGTCTGAGTCACCAGGGATAACAAGGGACTAGGAAAAGAAGGCAAGTGCTGTCCTGCTGGCAGGGAAAGGAAACAGTGAAGTATCTCTCCATGGTCAAAATCACAGTAAACTCTCACAGGCATTCACCAACAATCTGAGCATACCTAATAAGAATCCAGGTACTTCTCCTGGCCTGTTGACTTTGCAAACAGCCTAATGCTGCCAATGAAGCATTAGAGACAAAATGATGAGAACTGAACCAACCTACACACACCAGAATGAGGCTGAACTCTTCCTTTACCTAGAGCTTTGCAGCTACGCTTGTCCGGTCGCAGCTCGTAGCCTTGCTCACACCAGCACTGGAAGCCTCCTTCACTGTTGGTACAGCCTTGGCTGCAGTAACCTTCCTCAGCACATTCATTCACATCTGCATGGTACAAACCAAGGGAGAAACTCACATTAGATCACCAACAAGCCAGGCAACCTCAGCGAGAGCTCGCTTCTGCTTTCATGCTCCAGTTTGCACCCTATCGCAGCCATCAACATCAAAGCAGCAGGGTGGAGGCTCCTGCTCCAAGAGCCCACCTTGGCAAGATCGACCATCTTCCAGGAGCCTGTACCCTGTGTGGCAGGTGCACTGCACCATCCCTCGCACCATCTGGCACTTCTGAGCACAGCCACCGTTGTTGAGGTTGCAGTTCTCCTCCCCTGTTCTCGGACCTGCGAAAGGAACACGGAAAGAGGACTGAGCTGGAATCACTAAGGCAGCTGCCCGTGGCCTCAGCTGTTAGGCAGCAGTCACCCTTCAGAACAGGCTGAGCGAGAGGGGGAGGACACAGGCTGTGCTGGAAGCTGCCTTTTTGCAGTCAGAACTCTCCCCTGCAGGCCACAACTAAATGGGACAACAAAGTTCAGAATAATATGCTCTCAGGATTCACTATCTCTGCAGACAAACTTTGATACCTGGGAACCCTCCCCCATTATTCTTTAGTCACCCTTCAGAACAGGCTGAGCGAGAGGGGGAGGACACAGGCTGTGCTGGAAGCTGCCTCTTTGCAGTCAGAACTCTCCCCTGCAGGCCACAACTAAATGGGACAACAAAGTTCAGAACATACACTCTTAGGATTTGTTATCTCTGCAGATAAACTTTGATACCTGGGAACCCTCCCCCATTATTCTTTGTCTGCAGTATGTAATTGGCAAAACCACCCAAGCATTTTTTTCTCCATCTTCCACTCCCTCCCTCCATCACAGCCCAGGCTTTCTTCCTTACACCCATCCTTCAGCAACTCCAGACAGGCTCCCACACATCACAGTGCCTCCCCTTGTTTAGAGGTGAGCTGGGAGGACTTACGGCAGTTTTGATGTGGGCTCTCATCACTGCCATCCCCACAGTCGTTTGCTCCATTGCACAGCTTCCTCTGGCCAATACAACGCCCATTCCCACACAGGAACTGGTCTGGGGCACACTGAGGGGTCCCTGGGGTAAGAGAAGGGGAATGAGCACATCCCAGCTTACTGATGGAACAACTGTCAGCGGTGAAGAAAAGGGCACAGAATATTTTCAAAGACTTGTTATAAACTTTACACATGAGGACAAACACATGACTTCCTCTCTCCTTGAACTTAGCTCATCTTGCACTCCCTACTGCTCCCCATGCCTTCATGTTGATTTAGAGGCCTGCAAACTCTCCTCCAGACTGAGTCCAATGTTGCTTTATTGGGAAGTTCAACTATTCAGTTTCTCTCAAAATGGCTGGAAGGTCCTGGCTTAGTTCCCTTTCATTCCAGGCTTCACTCAGCATGTGCAAGAGAGGAGTCAGTTCCTCACTTTAATCACCTGATATGTCATGCCAGCATGGCTGTGGATCTTAAACCTGCCTAGGAATGAGTGTCCTGTCCAGTCCTAACTGCACTGTGACAAACTTGGAATGAGATTTACATGCACCCTTGAAATCTGAGCCCAGCAACAGGATTTCACACATGAGCTATAAGCTTCAACTTCTGCTGTTGGCAGGGAGAGTCTATGAAATTCTTGCAAGTAAAGTAATACTGTTTGTAGAGACTTTGCCAATCTGATTGTTTCCTCAGCAATAACTCCACTGTCCTATTGCCTCTTATTTCTTGTACTCTCTTAAGCTGTCTGGGTTAGTGGTTTCCAAATCATCAGCCTCTGATAATCCTAGGAAGACAACAGGACAATACAGTTATCAGCAAAGGAACAATGAGATTGGCAGGCTGCCTGTAAGCAGCATGGCAAAGGGTAGTTGTGAGATTAACCACAAGTACAAATGAGAACTAACAGGCACACCAACAAGGAACATAAAACCAAATCACATGCAGATTCACTTTTCAGAGCACAGGAATGCTTTATAGGAAGGGTTCTGAAGTTTGGACTGCATTTGTCATGTTGAACATAAAGATCCTTACATCAGCTGACCTCCTAGTATTCTAGGAATCTTCTCTCCATGGCCAATAAAAATACAACTCTGCTCTAAATCCAAGAGGTGACAAAGGATTTTAACTCTTGCTACAGACATTCAGACAGCAGACTATTTTCCTCAGTACACATTCTGCTTGGAAGCCCTGAGTTAGTTTTTACTTGTTAACTATCACCACAGACCTAACCCAGAACTGCACTGGTAACTTTACAGTAACAATAGCTGTACTTGGCCACCTTGGGCTTGGTCTCAAGTGGAGACGTTGAACTCCAGTGGCTTTCGAAGTTCAACTTGGCTTCTGGGTGGCAACTGCTCTTTCAGTACCTCTAAATACCTTTGTTATCAGATGAGGAAACAGGGCTACCAGCTTGTCTTTAAGTACAATTGCTTTTTCCAGGATCACCACTGTCTCCTGCACAGTGGTGCTCATGACAGCTGACCCATCTACAGCAGCTGCATTCAGATGGCTACAAACAGTGCCCCTCTAGGTCCTCTGAGCTCAGCTGTCCTTGTAGAACATGGACTTTCCCCTCCTCAACAGGGCCAAACAAGGGGTACAGTTTCACAATTCCCTTTTGGTTACCCTGCAACCCACTGTTTTAAGATACAGTGATCCAGAAGGGTCAGAATGCACAGCTGGGCTCCGTTCACAGGGATCAATTCATGGTACACACTATTCCTCAAAAAGCTCTATGGACAACCTGAAGGATGTAAAGAAAACAGAAGATTCTAGACATTCCTTGAATCCTACCATAACACCAGGGCCTGTGGAAACCCTTCTTTTAGATAATAATGGTTATGGAGAAGAGAATGGCAATATATTAAATGATTACTAGAAAGAAATTCCTGAGCAAATATCTAAGGAGGAAGCTGACACCCTTAACATCTAAACCAAAGATTTTATCCTTCACTTTTACACAATGCCCTTTCTGATTCCCCTTGCCTGCAAGAATTGCTTGGCAATTTCAGAAGGCAACCTGAAAGCTGTTCTGGACTATCTAAAAGGCATAGCTTAGTCACAGGCCATTGGACAAAGGCAGCAACCTTGCAAACAACGTTTCAAGTCTGAACTGTGAATCTGAGATGGAATCATCTTGGAGCTCAGTGGTAATTCATAGTGTAGGGACAGAATAGGAATATAAAGAGATCTGATATTTGACCAGAAAATGCCATCACTCAAGTTAGTGTAAGAACACAAACCTGCACCTGTCTGCAAGTGTAGAAGATAGCCTACGGATCCTGTTCTTTGGGAAGGACAGGAACTCTAGGCTGAACTCAGTGAAGAAATCCAAAGGAGACTTCACTACCCATCACCTCCAGGATGGAAACACAAGCTACAAGCACCAAGGCAGCAGGCCAAACCTGTGTTCTCACAGTTCTCCTCATCACTGTTGTCAGAGCAGTCATCTTCCCCATCACAGCGCCAGGACAGACGGACACAGCGCCCCGACCGACAGCGGAACTGGTCAGCTGTGCACATGGATGTAGCTGAGGGACCAAAAAAAGAACATCAGATGAGCAAGAAGGACCAGAGAAGACTCAATCCCCAAGCTAACAGTCCCAGACACTCCCCACCAGCTCCCAGCACTCACTGCAGTTCCTCTCGTCGGACTGGTCGTCACAGTCGAAGTCTCCATCGCACCTCCAGCCAGCGTTAATGCACAGGCCACTGTTGCACATGAACTCTCCAGAGCGACACGGCTGGTGAGATGCTGCAAAGATAGTGAGGAACACAAAGAGCAAGCTCAGGACACAGACCACTATAACGTCCCTAAAGCCTCTCAGCACCACCCTTACACTCCACTATTGTGGAGTTTGGTCCTGAATAGACTCCTCCTAGAAACTGTTTTAATTCCTGTATGCAGAATTATGCTGGCTACACAGTTCCCATCACTACTCTCACTTTCCCAAGGGAAAAAAAAGCAACTACAAACAAACACCAACCAACCAAACCACCACACACCAAAAAAAACCAAAACAAACACAAAGGAGCCAGCTTGTGTGTAAACAATTAGATTCTGTCTACACTGTGAGCCCTCTCCAGCTGGTGCAAAATTCAGTTAGCTTGGTAAATCAGGTGCTTGGAAGAGTGTTTCACTCTGCTTCAGCTTACAGCAGTCAGATTCATCGGACCAGTCCCCGCAGTCATCGTCACCATCACAGTGGTAGATGTCCAAGATGCAGCGTCCATAAGCACACTGGAACTCCTCCAAGCTGCAGGTGGCAGCTGGAACATCCGATGCTGACAAAGGAATCAAAGAAAAAAATGCTTGAGATGACAGAGCACAATCCAGATGTAACCTTCTCAGTCTGATAATGGGCTAGGAAGTGTTCGATGGAAAGGTGTTGGAAATTACAAGCCTCTGCAGCTTTTCTCTGCAGGGCTTGTATTACTGAGAGGAACCTGAATGCTGTTTGTGCTTCACTGAGAGGCAGGTTAAGCCTATATATAAAGGCACCCATGCAGACAATCCACTACAACAAATATTTCTCTCTTAATTACATAGGATGCTGGTCTATAAACACTAACTTTTCAAGAGCTGTTAAATTCTAGTGAAGGAAATAGCTGTGAAGAAGGAAGGGTTGAGGGGAAAGCAAGAAAAAGGATTCAAGAGTGTCATCCTTCCACCTTATGCTTGAGACACTGTCTTAGTGCCCTCCAGAAAGTGTTTA